TAGGACAAGTGGCATCTGAAAAAAAAAAAGACTACTCTTTCCAACAAATTTAACAGTGAATGTTAAAAGAGAGATGGGAAGGTAGCTGGATGGGATCAAGTGTCAAGAGTACCCTTTTACAGGGTTTCAGAGATATGAGCATATTTGTAGGCAGTGATGAGGGTGCTATTGGAGAGACTGAATAAACTTAATAAAGAATTACAACTGAAGCAGTAGTCATAGAGATGGGATGGAATCAAAGGCCTAGATGGAGGGATTGTTCTTTGGAAAGAATAACAATTTCTCTTCTTTTGTGACTAGGAGAAAGGACAGAATCAATAGTGGGCCTCATTTTCTTAAATAGGGTTGAGTAATGTCACAGACATTTGTAATCTTGGATTTCAGCAAAGTATTTGACAAAAGCTCTCAAGATATCCTTCAATCAATCATGCATTTAGTAAGTAACTACTATGTGTCAGTCATTGTGGATACAGAGACACAAGTGAAACAATCACTGCCCTTGAGGAGTTCATATTCTAATGGAGGAGACATGTATGTATATAGACATCTATACAAAAAAAAATTTATACACAAAATGCAAGGTAGTTTTTTCTTGGGGGGAAAGCATAAGTACCTCTGGAGACTGAGAAGGGCTTCATACATAAAATGGAGCTTTTTGTAGTGGTAAAAGCAGTAAGATGTAGTAACTGACTGGATATGTTGATCAGAAAAGAATGAACAGCTGAAGATGATACTATGATTGCAAATCCAGGTGTCTAGAAGGGTGGCAGTATTCATGATACAGGCAAATTAGTGAGAGAGTGGGTTTTAGAGGAAAAGTAATGATTTTCTGCTTTGGACACGTTGAATGTGACCTGCCTATGTGAACTGAACGTTAATTCAGTTAAAAATGGGCCTGGATCTCAGGAGAAAGACTGAAACTAAATATAGATCTGGAAGTCATCTGCATAGAGAGGATGATAAATTCACAGATGCTCATTAAGTTAGTGAGAGTGTAGACAGAGAACAGGCTGAGGACAGAGCCTTGGTGTATCACCACAGCTAGGAGATATGATGTAGATGATGATCCAGCAAAAGAGACTGAGAACAAGCAGTTTGACAGATAGGAGGATGAATCAAGAGACAATGGTGTCATGAAATCCCAAAGAGGAAGGAGTACCGAATAGAAAAGGGTCAACAGCAGAGTCAAAAACTGTAGAGATCCTATAGAGAACAAAGATTTAGAAAAGCCATCAGAATTTACAACCAAGAAATTATTAGTAATTTTCATGAAAGCAGTTTCAGTTGAATAATCACATTGGAAGCCAGACTGCAAGACTGAAAACAAAAAATGTGGTTAGTAATCATTATTTCAGATAATAAGCAATAATATACTGATCATCTCTGGAAACAAACATTATACCTAAAGATGCAATAAACTATAATATCATTAAAATATATGCACAGAAATGGCATAGCATCAAAGATCTTCTTTTTTAAAAGTTAGGTAAATTGCAAAAAGGCATTGATAACACAATATTTATAGGAGACTTTAATATTCCTCTTTCAGAACTAGATAAATCCAACAGAAAGATAAAGTATGAATTATACAGCTGAATAGACTGTTGGAAAAATCAAATTTTAGACGTAGGCAAAACCATAACTAGGAATGTTTACACCTGAAGCCGAAAATAGCTGAGCTGCTGGGCTGAACGGTGGTCAAGGGTACAGAGGAAAGTTTTGAGTGTAACTGCTGTTGCACTGGCAGGGTACAGCTCAACTTTTGACAGTCTAGCCTTTGTTCCTGAGGGCTAGGAAGACGAAAATGGCCCAAAGAGAGAGGTATTATAGATTTTGTTGTTGTTGTTTGTCCTTTGTTTTCTAAGAAGACCAATGACAAAACGGTTATGGCATGTTTGGCTGTGGTTGATCAGTTCAATATGAGTTTGGAAGACACTACCACAGATTGGGTACAAATAGTCCCATTTCCAATGAGAAGATGGCCCAATGCCCTGGGCCATCTATGTGCAGGGCTGTGGCCACAGCTCCCAGTGTATCTACACCTGCTGGTTTGTCACTCACCCGTGCCCTTCACCATAGGACTTCAAGATGGTTAATGTAATGAATAATGGGTGTCATGACATGTGATTTGGATTTAAGTAAGGCAGAATTGTGCAGCCTCACTCTCTTTTCCAGAGTCCTAAGTATTCAGTAGCAAGATTGAAATAAAAATGACTGGCAACAGCCTGGGATACAGTGGATGACCCTGGTGTCTTCTACGTCTGACCAAGCTCCGAGTGCTCCACAGTGCCTATTCCAAACACCTTCATGGCCACTGCAACAAAACTGGTCTAATCCACCCATTCTACTAGGTAAAGTCTTCACCTGCTTGGGTAGGCATCCCCCTAACTCACTGACAGGTCTGAGGTCTGATGGCAATGCTCAACCTGGTTTGGCTCATCTGCCTAGACAGTTCAGAGTGTGGCTGCTTCACATGCTACAGCTTTTTGAAGCCATGGAGAGAGTTAGATGACAGGTGGACATCAAAGGTGGGTGAGCAGCCCTGAAAAGGGCCCAGCAAGTCCTCACACAGGAGGTACTAGTCCTCCTTGAATACTCCATACACCTCAAGGGATATTCTCTTAGAGGTAATTTCCCCTTATGGCAGTGTAGCCCACCAAGGAACCACAATGCTCGGAGATAACTGTCACTGTGATAAGAATGCTGTCTTGAAGCAAATCCCTGATCACCCCAAGACTAGTTATAGCTCTGAATGAAAGTTAAATGACAATGTAACTGGGCAGAATTAGGGCTGGTTGAACAATCAGATCCAGTGAGTGTTGGTTAACAGACTGATTATCAACTTAAAGAGATGTCTATGGCAGACAACAAAGATTTGCCTTGTCCCTTTTAGTACAATATTTTTAATAAGCGACTTGTATGCTGGCACAGATGGTATGCTTATCAAATTTCTGTATAAAGCTGGAGAAGGACGCTAACTGGCTGGATGACAAAACTGTGAACCAGAAACATCTTAACAGATTGGAACAATGGACTGGATCTAATAAAATTACACTTAATGGAGATAAATATAAAAGTTCTCCACTTGGGGTCAAAACATAAACTAATCCAGGATGGGGGAGAATAGTTAGATAGCATTTCCTTTATGGTTTTTCTGTTTAAATAAGAACCAAGTGGGATGCAGCAGCCAGAAAAATTAATGTACTAATACAAGTTTGATGTTCAGAACCAGAGATTATAGTTCTACTCTACTCTGGGTAGACCATATCTGGAAAGTTGCATTCAGTTTTGGGAATTATATTTTAGGATAATGATAGACTGAAGTAGCTATAGGGAAGGATGATTAGGGGAGGCAAAGAACTCAAAATTATGCCATGAGATCAACTGAAAAGATTAGCTTACAGGAAATATGATATTTGTTTTCAAATATTTGAAGGTCTGTCATGTGACAGACTTGTTTAGATTGATTAGACTTGTTTTGCTTGGCTCTAAAGAGCATAATTAAGACCAATAGAGAGGGGTGGCAGATAAGCAGATTTTGGTTCAATCTGCAATAGAGGTTAAAGTGATTTGCCCAAGGTCACGTATAATTCCATATCATTAGAGGTCAAGTATACTTAACAGTTCAGACAAAATTCCTAAAGTTGCCAAGCACTTTAGTGCTAAGCACTAAAAATGCAAGGGCAAAAACAAAAACACTCCCTGCCCTCAAAAAGCTTATCTTCTACTTCTCTGATAAATGTCTTAGAATTGAGGGGACTAATTCATGCTTCAGGTATGATGGGTTCAGATAGAGGTCCTCTGAGATTTCTTCTACCTCTAGGGTTCTATAAATGAAGAGAGTCAGAGTTTTGAGCCTTAAGATGATTAGAAAAACTTCACAGGACATGGAACAATACCTGACTTACAATAGACCTTTAATTTTGAATTAAACTGAATGGGTCTCAAAAATCACTTAGTCCTGTTTTTTTTAGATATAGAAGCTGATGCCTGGCTAGGTGAAGTGACATATCTAAAGCCCCACAGGTAAAAAGTGACAGAACTGAGACAGCAAAGTAGGATCTGACTTCAAATCCAAGGCAGTACCATTGATTGCAATAGGAAAATCTGGAAGGAGAGGATAATTCCTTTTATTTTTGCAGGTGTTCACACTTATATTAGCTGAGAGATTGCTTTTGATTATATTTTAAATCTTAAAGTATATTCTCTACAAGTATTTAGATTCCTTTCTCTAAAGAAATAGGATTTAAGGTCCATGGTGGTGGCAAAGTTTGGAAGGGCTGGTTGGCCACTCCATTCTTCCTTCATTTAAAGAAACACACCACCATCTTTCCAGATTCAACATAAACTCTCAAGTTATCTTTACTTGTTCATTTTTAACTGGCCTTGCTGCTCTCATTTCTCCAGGATTTTGTTTTCCTTTCAGGCATGACTTTTCCACAATGGCCTTGATCTTTCCACTCCCCAGGCCTGTCCAGATCCATTCCTAAGGAGGCTCCAGTACCCAGATTTCTATGTTTTGAGATTGCACCAGCAGCCCTCATTCTGGGTTGGATGAACCCACAACCCTGAAGGAGGCACCCATCAGGGAAAACCTCCATCTTACCTAGGAGATCTAGAACCCCCCCCCCCGGCAGACAGCGCATGGCCTCCCAGTGGCCCCAGGGAAACGGACGCCTCGAACAGGGGTGAGCAAGGCACATGCTGTGGCGCCCTTCCCCCACTCCCCCTTTCCCTCCCCTCTTCCGCCCTCCCCTAACAGGAAAGAAAGGAGCCGGGCTGGCTGGGGCTGACCTGGAATCTACCCATGAGGCAACGCGGCGGGTTCGCGAGCCCCCGCCCCCCTCCCTTCTTCTCTCCCTTCCTCCCTCCCCGCAGCCTAGGCGCCTGCTCCGCTATGGGAGCCGCCGTCGTCCCAGTTGCCGCGGTGTTTTCCTGCTCCTCCTTTTCCTCCTCCTCTTTCTCCTCCTCCTCAGTGCCCCAGTAAGGCCACTCCCGCATCACACACGGTAAGCGCCCCCTCTCTCCCCTTCAGCCGTGCCGCCGGCGCGGCCTCCAGCCTCGCGTCCCCGAGCCGCCTGGTTCCGGGGGGGCGGGAGCGGGGCTGAGGGCCCAGCGGGGGCGTCCGGCGGGCGCGTGGAGCCCCCCGGGGGGGGAGGAAGGGGAGGGGAGGATGATGGGGTGGCGCGGCGCGGCGGTGGCCGCCGGCCGCCATCTTGGGTCGGAGCGGCGCGGGGGTGGGATCTCCGCCGTTGCGCAGCGGACTCACTGAGGCTCGGAGAGGCCTGTGGGGCCCGCGCAGGCCTGCTGCGGAGACGGTGATGATGGAGGCGCCGCAGCGGCGCCTCCGCCTCCTCCGCCTTCATTTCGCCCGCGCGCGTGCGGGTGGGTCCATCCCCTGGGCTACGAGGGAGGTTTTGCTTGCGCGCTCCGCTCGCTCTCTCCCTCTCCTGGGGGAGCTCCCTACGCCTTTTGTACGGATGGTGGCGGTGTAAGGAAATTCCCCTCCCCTTTTCCCTCGGCCGCCGCCGCCACCTCTGCCACCACCACCTGTCTGTAATGAGAAGAGAAAAGAGGACCAGAGGCTAGACTGCAGCAGCAGCGCCTCGTCTGCCAGACTCCTCTCCTCGGCCCTCCCCCATCCCTTCCCTCCTCCCATGTCACGAATGAAAACACGCTCCCAGCCCCCCACGCCCGCGGAAGAGATCTCCCCCTCCCCTTCTCACGGCTCTCTTGCAGTTGGATTCATTCTCCATCCCATTATTGTCTTCAGGAAGAATACCCTGTTGAGAAACGTGGAGCTAGGCACACAGTCTTCTGGCAGTGTGAGCTGCGAGAAGGACGCTACCTCCTCCTGAGAGCATCCTCCTAGTACCTAGAGATGGAAAGAGTGTCTCCCAAATTATGTCGATTAATGCTTTTAAGAAAAGGTAGGAGGGAAGATCGTGCTGTGCAGCAGTAGCCTTCCTAGCCCTTGTGTAGGCAGAACCCAAAGGTTGGTGCCATTTAAAAAAAAAAGGAACTTTTAAATTAGGTTTCCAATTTGAAGTTTGGGTGTGTAGGCTCCTAAGAATCTGATACCCTTCACCTCTTCGCGCCACCACCACCATGGAAGGGCTTAGATTTTTATTAGAATGACTGTTTTCATATGTAGGGGATTTTATGTGTCAACCCAAGCTTTCTCCCTAAGAAACATCTCTTTGTTTTATTAGGCTGAGGAGGGGTCAAATATGAACAGCATTTTGTTGGGGGTGCAGAGGTGGTAGATGCTGGATAGTAATAGGCCTGAATATTTCTCTTTTGGGTATTTTAGTTGACCTTTTAAAAGTAAAGAACCTCTGGGGGGCAAACTTCAGTCTGTCACACTTTAGTATGAATTAATTAGATAAATGTGTACCACGAAGCTGAGATTACAACTCTATAAGGATTGGAGTTTTGAATGATCTAGCGGGAATGAGAGGGGTGAAAAAGAGTAGAAAAATCAACCAAGACAAAAACATTTTTATTTGAAGTTTTGCCTGGTACTCTTTTGCTGTCACTGATAATTACTCCCATAGGTTGTTGATGTCTAAGACCACTTTGGAAAGGTTTTAGGCTAAGGGGCTAACCTTGGTTCTAGTCCATTTTAAGTCTAGCTCCTTCCTCCCCCCCCCCCATTTCAGTATTACAAGATTTCTTTTGTAAAGGGGGAATCCTCCCTCTCCCCAACTCATCGAATTTCTTTCCTCACACATTAAGTGGAGAGATTAGATTTGAGGGTCAGAGGCTGTAAACTGAAAGTAATATGTAATCTATTTTGGAAATTTAAAAAAATATTATAGATATTAGAAGTTTTATTTTAATTGTAAGGGAAAAAAGCTTTTTTTTTAGACATCAAAAATGTTGTCATGAACATATTGTATGTATGTGTTCCCTGTGGTCTATTACTATTTTTTTTTCTATAGGCTCTTTGGTAATTTCACAGGGGCATTTAAAGAGATTTTATATTTTTAATTGAAATCAAATATTTTTGTCATTACTCTGGAAGACTGTTTTAGACAGAATGCATGTTCAAACATGTTAGATTAATTCTATTCAAAGTAGCTCTCCTAAAAAAGAAATGTTTCTCATTTTATTTGGGTAATCAGGCTTTTTATTACAAGGTTTGTTTTCAAGGCTGTCTTACTCAGAAATTATATTCATATATCCCAAAACAGCATCTCTTATAGCCAATTGTCATTGTTTTTTCTCTTACCATACCATCCTCATTAGATCTCCAATCAGTAGAAGTTGTCCTCAAAAAACTATTTCTCAAGACTTTTGGAGTATTCTGCTAGAAATATTCTCTCCTTGGGTTTATCTCTATGCTTCACCTCCAACAATTTTTTTGAAGGTAAAACCTTTATTAATTGGAATGCTTGGGGAAGGGATGTTTCAGTTTTTTGGTTAACGCGTTAAGCAAAAAACTTATATTTCAGCCTTTAAGAAAACCTTAAAAAAACCTGAGTCCATTTTTGTGCCATAGTATAATAGAATTAATCACATTTAATATTTCTTTACTAACAAAGGAATAGATTATACTTTCTGTATCCCTCATAGAATATTCCTTTTACAGTGAGTACTTGCCTCTCCAAAGTTCCCTATTGGCTTCTGGACATTGCTTGGTGTATGCTTGACTCTCTTGGCTGGTAGTGGAACCTCCTTGCTTGGGTTACATTCTTGTACTCTTTGAGAGCTGGCTTATTTCCTTTTTTATCTTTGTATTCTCAACACCCATCATAATGCCTTAAATATAGTACTCATTTCATAAACATTAATTGAAATTAATTGGATTTGTATATGTTATCTTAATCTTTTAGTATAAAATTAATAGTCATTTTATTTTTAATTTACAGAAAATTTTTACTTATTTGCCTAAGTATATTTTGTGTGTCACAGTTTTATAATAGAGGAAAGTTGATGTAAAATATCTAAATGAGGTACTATCTTGCTAGTACTTGCTGTCTTCTGGTATGACCTTGGGTAAATGGTTCCCTTTCTAAGAAAATTTATTTTTATTTATTTTTTTCTAAGAAAATTTATTCATGTAAAATGAGAATAATGATATTTACTGAAGATACTATAAAAATAATGATCGTAAAGAACTTTGAGGAAAAGCATGAATAAGAGACTAATTATAAACATTGGACTTGGTGGACCAAGTCAGGAGTAATTATATTATTTTTAATCTCGTGGTCTTCTTTACCTCTCCTCCCTTAAATGCTTTACATGTATTTTAGAATAAAGGTATAGTAATATAGATAATGTCTTACTATAATCTAATTAGCAGAAACTAAATTATTTGTTGCAAGGGAATTTTATTTAAAGGGATATATCCTGAGAAATCCTGTCTCATTCTTTAGGCCTGACAATGAAACAATTAACATCCAGCCTCTCTATAAGTAATTGGTAATGGAAAAGAAATACTTTAAATCCAGTTAGGAAAGGATTGGTAGAAGGTATCATGTATTTTATTTTAAAATTTTATTTTTATTGATCCCTTTTGTTTTTACATAATTCATTTCCAAATAGATCCCTTTATTTTCTTTTGCCCAGGAAGCCAACCCTTTTGACAGATTTTTTTTAAAGAGGGGAAAAAAGTGGGTCAGCAAATCAACAAATAGCAACAGAATATGACAATGTATGCAGTATTCTATACCCAGAGGCCCCATTTTGCAATGAGAGCAAGATGCTTTTTTCTCAATTCTTCTCTGGGGTCAACCTTGGTCACGATTATTAAGCTGCCATTCAGTTTCATTTTTTTATACTTCCAATTTGCATTGTCATTCAGTCAGTCAGCATGCATTTATTAATCACCTTACAATAAAGCTTAGCCTTGTGGAACTGTGAGTACAAAGAGTAAAGAAAAACTATCTCTGCCCTCAAGGAACTTATATTCTTTTATTGTGTATACTGTGTTCTGGGTTCTGTTTACTTCATTATGTATTAGTTCTTTTTTTCTCTTTTTTTCTTTTTTTTGGCTAGGCAGTGGGGTTAAGTGACTTGCCCAGGGTCACACAGCTGGTATGTGCCAAGTGTCTGAGGCCGGATTTGAACTGAGGTCCTCCTGAATCCAGGGCTAGTGCTCTTTCCTCTGTGCCACCTACCTGCCCCAGTTATGTATTAGTTCTGATAAGTCTTGGCATTCTTTGAATTCTTCACACTAATAATGCTTTACTGATTCTGCAGTTGATGGATACCTACTTTGTTTCCAGTTTTTTGCTACCACAAAAAGTAAAGGAGCTATCAATTCCTTTTCCCATTTTCTCCCTTAATTTTTCCTTTTCTCTAAACTAGAATTTAGTTAGAATCAGACATCTGTTAAATGGCTACTGAGTACAGAGCATTGTGCTATGAATCCAGAATTCTCTACATTTTGCAAATGATAAAGACGAAAACTTGACAGAGCACTAGCCCTATTATGTTAAATGAAAATTAAGATACTCTTTGGACTTGCCCTGGACAGAGTTAAATTGATCCAGAAAGCCCTCATTTTTAGAAAAGGAACGGAAAAATAGAGGGGAAATAAAACCCCAAATTCATTGACTGCAACTTAGCTACAACATTAAATTAGCCTAAATTTCTCTTTTTCAGCTATTACTATTAGCAATTTTTGCTGCTTCTAAGGCTTTGTCTTTGTCAGTATTTCTAAGCCTAAACCAGGTTTTTTGATATTTGAGGAAGGTACAAGAAATCAAAGCAGGTAAGGAAGTCTTGCCAGTATGTTTCAGGAAGCATATGATTAGTGCCATCTCAAATTGCATTTCTGAACCAAACACCCAAAATCTTGTAGATTTTGCAACATTTAAAAAATGCCATTCTAACATATATTCCTATAAATGCTGCTTGTTTTGTAATCATACAGTGTTATCACTTAACATGTCTTTGAATCTAGGATCCAAAACATGAATTGTTGACAAGATTTTTCCTGTTTTATTAGCGTGTCTTGCACTTTACTCTCCTTTGTACTTGTAATTGGTGATTATACACCTTCAAACATTTGATTTTATCTAGGTCATATAGTTAGAACTGTCAGATTTGAATGCAGTTTTTGGTTCTGTTGATAAAAAGACTGCCCATCATATTAGACCTGTTCTTTTCATTTTGCTTCAGTCTCCTTATAATCACAGAAACCTGTCTCCCCACTAGACGACACTGAATCCTTAGCCACCTTCTCTAGTGCTGGATGTACCTTCACTCATGCTACCCTAACACATTGGGCCATGAGGAGGAGTAGGAATGCTTCTTGCTCCTCACTTCCCAACTCTCCCCCTATCACTGTCACTTAGTAACATCTCTTTTGAGCTTCATTCTTTCCAATCTTTCTGATCTGGTGGAAATGGAACACTTAGAGCCAGGGTATTTGAATTAGGTAGTTATTTTTACTGAGGCTTAAAAAGAAAAGGTGTGTAGTAATCCTGTTTTTCCCTTTTTAATAACTGGTCACATCTGCCGCTCTGGACAACCCTTTAGGCTGTCTGGAGAGGGAGGCCCTTTCCCTCCAGATCACTACCCACATGAGGGTAAGGGGCCCAGAACATTCACCTGGGAGTGAGTAGCCAGTTGTACAATATTCAAATCACTTGCTGCCTACTACAATCTTACCCCCATCCCCATTCCTTGGCCTCAGTGACTTGGGTAGTCAGAGTCACTAGTCACAGTAATTCTTGCCTCTTCATCCCCATTCTCACCAAGGGTAGGTGCTGACCCCAGGTATCCCTCATCCATTCATCCTTAAG